GTCACATATCATATGATTTTATCCTTATGAAATATCCAGGGTAAGTAAACCTGTAGATACAGAAAGAAGATTGTTGGTTTCTAGGTCCTGGGGGAAACGTGAAGTGGGGAGCAACTACTTTGCAAAAATGTTTTGAAGCTAGAATAGAGATGATGCTTGCAGTGCACTGTGAATGTACTAATTTCCAATAGATTGTTCATTATTGTTAATCTTGTGATGCAAATTTCATCCCAATTTAAAAATATGTTTCTAAGTAGGTGGCACTATTCCAGAGAGAAAGGTGGAAAGGGAATTCCAGCTGTGGAACAAACACAAATAATGATATACAGCTTAGAAACAGGCAGGGGTAGGCATTTGGTGCAGTGGTTTAGACGCTGCTTAGTACACCCACATGCCACACTGGAGAATGTGGGTTCAAGTCTTGGCTCTGCTTCAGATTCCAAACTTTAGGCTAATGTACATCCTAGAAGGCAGGAAGTGGTGACACATATACATGGGTTTCTGCCACCCATATGGTAAAACAGATGGAATTCTGGTCCTTCATTCTGGCCCAGCCCTGGTTGTTATGGGCATTTGAGAGTAAACCAGTAGATGGAAGATCTACCTCTCTCTCTCTCTCTCTCTCTCTGTGTGTGTGTGTGTGTGTGTGTCTTTCAAATAAATTAAAAACCTTTAGCAGGAAAAAAATAAAAGCATAAATGCAGGAACCTCAAGTGATTCAATATGACGAGATCTGAGATTTCCATGCCAGAACTGAAGGGTCAAGAGACTAGAGAGGCAGACAGGAGGCCATGTTGAAAAGTCATGTATATGAGGCCGGCGCCGTGGCTCAATAGGCTAATCCTCCACCTTGCGGCGCCGGCACACCGGGTTCTAGTCCCGGTTGGGGCGCCGGATTCTGTCCCGGTTGCCCCTCTTCCAGGCCAGCTCTCTGCTATGGCCAGGGAGTGCAGTGGAGGATGGCCCAGGTGCTTGGGCCCTGCACCCCATGGGAGACCAGGAAAAGCACCTGTCTCCTGGCTCCTGCCAGGATCAGCGCGGTGCGCCGGCTGCAGCGGCGGCCATTGGAGGGTGAACCAACGGCAAAGGAAGACCTTTCTCTCTGTCTCTCTCTCTCACTGTCCACTCTGCCTGTCAAAAAAAAAAAAAAAAAAGAAAAAAGAAAAGTCATGTATATGATGCCAAGGGTCAGGGGCTTGACCTAGCAGGAGAAGAGGAACCATTGGAAGGTTCTAATACGAGATGGGTGTGTTGAGACATGGGTTGTATATGGTAAGCCATGATAGCCTCTGAATGGTCTTGACTACAAGCTTTACAGAAGGAGTCCAGCCCAGAGGTGATGAAGGCAATGGATAAGGGAGCTGTGGTGTGCCTGGAAATAAGCATAACATTTAAGAAATACTTGGAAGATAAAATGGGCAAGACAAGATGACTGACAGAAGCAAACTTCCAAGTCTGCGTACCTGGGTACCTGGGTAGATGCCAGTGCCACCATCTCACCCAAAACATATTCTATCAGAATCCTTGAAAGGGCTGCAGCATTGAATTGTATTTCTTGGGATAATGGCCACATATAACCAAAGAATCTCAAGCAGGTATTAAAATTAGCCAAGTCACTAATACAACTCCATCCCAAACACTGTTACCTGATCCCCATCTCAGAGGAGCCACTATTCCTGGGTCTACCAACAGAAAGGCCCATCAGCTTCCACATCACTTAAATACTTAGAGTTGGTTGCCAACATGAGTAGGTTTATAACATTTCCATTGTATGAAATGCCATCTGGTTTTCACTATACTTAACATCTGGTTATTGCACCTAAGCATATAATCATATTAAATGGATGAGAAGTATCTGATGGATTGCAGCCAAGTAACTGAATAAAACAGTAAAGCACCATCACAATTTGTAGGGATTTACCTGATAGGATTTCTTTCTTTTTTTAAGATTTATTTATTTATTTTAAAGTCAGAGTTACACAGAGAGAGAAGAAAAGGCAGAGAGGTCTTTCATCCACTGGTTCACTCCCCAACTGGCTGCAACGGCCGGAGCTGCATCGATCCAAAGCCAGGAGCCATGAGCTTCTTCTGGGTCTCCCACATGGGTGCAGGGGCCCAAGCACTTGGGCCATCCTCCACTGCTTTCCCAGGCCATGGCAGAGAGTTGCATCAGAAGTGGAGCTGCTGGGATTTGAACCAGTGCCCATATGGGATGCTGGCACTGTAGGCAGTGGCTTTACCAGGTACACCACAGCACCGGCCCCAACCCTGATAGGATTTCTAAGCACAGGGGAAAGGTGATCTTTCACCCAAGTGAACTGCTTAGTGGTCATACTGCATCCTGCAAAAATACTTATTCAGCCACCACACCAATAGACAGATCATGGTAGGTTCTGGAACTGCAACCCTCCACCTTCTAAGACCTATTAATCCAAAGGAGGAAGACAAACAAGCCAATAGCATGGCAGTAGGACAAATGATAAGACAGGGACCTGAACCAGGGACTCTGCTAATAGGGCCACTCAGATGAGACAGAGAAGGTGAGGCATTAGATGAGGTTTGAAGATAGAGCAAGAATTTCCAAAATTAGCAGGGTTTAATGAAAGAAAGAAGTTAGAGGGGAAATGTCAGGCAGAGGCGAGAACACATGGGAAGTTATGGATACTTAATTGTTTGATATTGTATGGGACTGTACAAAGTTCCCTAAGACAGGAGGAAGATGAAGAAGCTGGTGGATCACTGAAGTCCTTACCCTCTAAAGGAATGCTCACGAATATTGCCTAAAAACCTGGGAACCAGTGAAAATGATCAGCAGGAGAGTGATGTGACCAAATTTTCTTTTTTCATGTGTCCATGCCATGGTGTGAGAGACAGGAGGGGAGGCTCCTGGAAGGAGGTAAACCAGGAGACTCTCAGGACGAGAAGACCCCTGAAAAATCCAGAGAAAGTGGTGAGATGAGGAGTCAGGGCTCTAAGAGGCATTTTCAGAACTGATGAGGTTGCGTCACCTTGAAAAAGCCTGCGCTCTCTCTCCCAAATCATCCTTCTGAGCCTCTGTTTCCTATTCTTAAATGAGGACATTCTCCTTGGAAGTGTGTAATATGGTAGAAGCACTTGCCATGGCCCTTAAAACCTAGTAAGGCACAGTGACCTCACTAAGGCCCATAGAGGTTAAAGTTCAAACTTGCTAAGAGTGAGAGCCAGAGGTAACCTTTGCTTCTAGGTCTTTCTTAGCCCAGGCACTGTGCTCTTCCCTGAATCACGCTGAAAGTAGGAAATTCAAAGGAGAAACACTTAATGAGAGCAGGTGCTAATTATCTGGGAAGTTAGATGTCAGCACCAACTGACTTAGATGATTTAGGTGACTTAAGTGACTTAGGTGACTTAGATGAAATGGACAAATTCCTAGAGAGACACAAGTTGATGGCATTTTGTTGAAGATTTTTTGTCTATATTTATAAAAAATACTAATTTGTGTATTTCTTTCCTTGTAATGTCTTTTCTTGATTTTGGTCACTTTAGTACTAGCTTCTGGGAATGAGTTGGGTATTGTTCCTTCATTCTCTATTTTTGGAAAACTTTGTTAGAAATATGTTCTCTCATTTTGGTAAAATTCATCAGCAAATGATTGATTTTGTAGTTTGCTTTGCAGGTTTTAAAAACCACTATCGGCCGGCACCGCGGCTCACTAGGCTAATCCTCCACCTAGCGGCGCCGGCACACTGGGTTCTAGTCCCGGTCGGGGCGCCGGATTCTGTCCAGGTTGCCCCTCTTCCAGGCCAGCTCTCTGCTGTGGCCCGGGAAGGCAGTGGAGGATGGCCCAAGTGCTTGGGCCCTGCACCCCATGGGAGACCAGGAAAAGCACCTGGCTCCTGCCTTCGGATCAGCACAGTGCGCCAGCCGTGGCAGCCATCGGAGGGTGAACCAACGGCAAAAGGAAGACCTTTCTCTCTGTCTCTCTCTCTCACTCTGTCTGTCCAAAAAAAAAAAAAAAAAACCACTATCAGTACATATCTAAAATCAGTACCTATTTAAAAACCAAATCAGTCCATATCTGATGTTTCTTGTTTTACCTGAAAGGCAGAGAGACAGACAGAGATGCAGAGAATCTGAGAACAGAGTTCTTCCATCTGCTGATTCACTCCCAAAGTGCCTATAGTAGCTGAGTCTGGGCCTGGCCAAAGCCAGGAGCCCAGAACTCCATCTGGGTCTCTGATGTGGATGATGAGGAATGAGGAAGGATGATGAGGAATGAGCCATCACTTACTGCTCCCTAGAGTGCACATGAGCAGGAATGTGGAATCAGGAGTGGAGTGGAGCAAAGGCTCAAGCCAGGCACTCTGATATAGGATGTTGGCATTCCAAGTAGTGTCTTAGTGCCTAGACCAAACGTATCCCTCAACCATTTGCCTTGGTTCATGACATTCCTTACCATAAACTGGAGCATTTATGTCCTTTGCACTCATCTTTTCTTTCTGGAATCTCATAAATGCATCTGATTGTTCCAATTAATAGAGTTTCTGAGATGGCAAGAGCAGCTGATTCTTGGTTCATTGTGTATCCTCAATGTCTGAAACATGGCACATGCTCAATAAATTGTAAACTAGTAAATTAGTCACTTTGCAATGTGGGACATGTGTTGGATGGACATACTTAGAAGAGGATACTTCTAAACATTTGTGGAAAATGGAATTAAAAGATTAATTTATTTTGATGCAAAAAATTTGAAATCTATGCCTACTGCTTTTCATAGCCTTAATTTTTATGAATTTTTGTAGACCCTTCACAAACCATGTATGTGTATTTTATTTTCCTTAAAGAAGTGAGGCTTAACCAAATCAGGAGTGGAGTGAGGTTGTTGTGTGTCTCTTTAATTGTTTTTTAAGCATCTTACGTTTTCTCTTTGAATCTGATAGAGCAGCCAGCTCAGCATCTCCCTTTTCTGTCCTAAGGTATGAGGCATGAGGCCACAGGCCACACGGGGTCTCACCAGTACTCACCTCAAGAGCAAGATCCAGAGAAGTACTCTTCCCAGGTCCCTCAAAGCACTGAAATGGACACTTTTTTCAACTTGAGGCTCTGCTAGACTTGACTACCTCGTCGCCACTGTACTAGATGGTCCTTCTGTCCTAAATCCTTTCAGTAACAGAGCCCAGGGTGCTAGAGAGGAGATAAGCATAAGTAATCAGGTAAGTGCTGGGTGTAGGCGTTGGTGCAGAGTACCAAGAGAGATGAGTGAAAAGGAGTCAGGTAAACACAACTTCAAATGCTGTCTTGCCCAGTACAGGTGCAAGCTCTTGTGCTGTGTAGTTAATGTTTTTAGAGTGTGATAGGTACAGAAAATGGTAATAACAATAGCTATCACAGCATTATGACCATTATATGTGCCATCACATGCCTGAAATTTGTAGATAATCAATAACAGTCATGATTACAGCAGCAGTATTTCTAAAGAAACAGATTTTTGTTTCCTCCATACAAGGCATTCTTTGACAAGAGTTATGTGCATGCACAAACAACCTCCCATTGTGTCTCACTTGCAGGTGCAGAGCTACCAGTGTCACCAGATGCGTTTTCGTAAATTACCATTGGATTCCCTCTTCTTGCTTAGAGTGTGTTTATCACTTCTGCTGCCTGGAGATGTACAGGGTCAAGGAGCTGCAGGTGAAGGGAAACATCAGACAGCAGATCACACCGGGACTCAGCCATCAGGACCCTGCTCTAGGATTCAGGGCTGTGCCTACCCTTGGTGAGAAGACAATCAGAAAAGCAAAGTATTCAAGAGAAGGAAGAGCGTATGTGGAACAAGGTCATTGCTGCTTGTACCTGCCCTATTTTGACAACTCTGTACCGGTTCCTACCATTATCCACAATTCTCATGGAAGACCCCAGCCTACCCCAACCTGAACCTACCCATGCTCTTAACAGTAATAGTCACTCTTCAAAGCCCAGCCTCCAGCCCACTTTTCTTTTTTCTTTTTTTTTAAACAGGCAGAGTTAGACAGTGAGAGAGAGACAGAGAGAAAGGTGTTCCTTCTTTGGTTCACCACCCAAATGGCCACTGTGGCCAGCGAGCTGCGCCAATCCGGAGCCAGGAGCCAGGTGCTTCCTCCTGGTCTCCCATGGGGTGCAGGGCCCAAGCACCTGGGCCATCCTCCACTGCACTCCCAGGCCACAGCAGAGAGCTGGACTGGAAGAGGTGCAACCAGGACAGAATCCGGCACCCCGACGGGACTAGAACCTGCTGTGCCGGCGCTGCAGGCAGAGGATTAGCCTAGTGAGCCACTGCACCAGCCAAGCCCACTTTTCTTTGTATCATCACTGACTTCCCTCTTCCTTGTGTTTTTGCAGCACCGAGATGTGTTTCATAATGGAAGAGTATATGCTGGATGGTTTATTGAGTACCTACGTTGCCCTTGTGATCTCACCTATCTCCTTAAAATTACAGCAGCAGAGGCGTAAACTACAATAAAGTTACGCTAAATCACGGAACTGTAAGAAGGAAGTCATCAGTGGTGAAAAGACAACCAATAAATTTCTGGAAGGTAAAAGAAGATACACAGAGGTTTACTGATACTTTCTCAGAGTGATGGGAGCTACTGCTCAGGATTCTAGAGAGGCATAAGGCTCACGATTAGAAAGGTTGAAAAGTAGAGTGAGGTTAAAACCAGGCGAATGAATGAACAGGAAGCAGGCAATATTCAGACTGAAATTTATTCCCAGAGAAAAGCAAATGAGTAAACAATGGAAAGGGATTGGGCTTCTATTGTAGTTGCTGTAGCAATGGGTAACCCCATATTCCACAACTGGAGCAGAAACTAAGATAGACATGAAAAAATAATGATGATTATCTCCCATTCACCTTGAACCAAACCCAGCCAGTAGCAGGTACAATGATACACATGCCATCCTACTCACCGAGAAACAGACCTTTCTCCCATCAGGGGACAGAAATGAATGTAAAAATTTCCATTTCTATCCTAAATTTTCAAGTAAATATAGTTAACTTTAAAGGGTATTAGATGATATTTCTCTGTTTATAAGATTTATTTTGTTTAAAAGTCAGAGCTACAGAGAAGGAGAGTTAGAGAGAGAGAGAGAGAGAGAGATCTTCTATTTGCTGGTTCACTTCCCAGATGGCCACAGTAGCCACAGTTTGATCAAGCTGAAGCCAGGAGCTTCTTCTCCTACATAGGTGGTAGGTTCCCAACCACTTGGATCATCTTCTGCTGCTTTCCCAGGCCATTAGCTGGATCAGAAGTGGAGAAGCCAGGGCTCAAACTAGCACCCACATGGGATGTTAGTGTCACAGGAAGCGGCTTAACCCACTATGTCACAATTTTGGCCCCTAGAATGCTATTTCTTAAAAAACAAACAAACAAACAAAAATACTGGAAGAGAGTAAGACCAAACTGTTAGGAAAAGAAAAAAACAACCAGACCTCCAAAAATGCAAAAATGCTTCATTAGACTGCCTAGACAATAATGTTGAGTAATTTTATTTTCTAGGTGATGGAGTTAAAGGAGATGAGAGCAAAGGGACATTGAGTTTCCATGCAGGTGCTCCAGGAAAAAAAGAACATAAAATAGAGGCGACACACTTTAAAGAAATAATGGAAGAATAACTTCCCAGAGCCAGAGAAAAGCACAAGTCATCAAATTGAAAGAGTGCCTCATAAACCAGGCAGAATAAATGAAAAATAACTCCCAGCACAACACACTTGTATGAAACTCTAGGATACCAAGAATAATAGAAGACGAAAGCACTTCCAGAGGAGACAAGTTCCTTGGAAATTCTTGAGAATCAGACTGCTGTCATTCTTGCTTTCCCAACACTCGCAAAAGACACACTGAATAGCTGATGCTAGAGCTGGTACCATACCCCAAGACAAAGAATTGATCAAATAGGAAGGTGAAGTAAAGCAGTGGTCAGACATGGAGAGACTCAGAACATCAGTCTCATGGATCTCCTTGCTGAAGAAGTTACAAAAAACTCTCCTGCAAAAGGGGGCTGGAAACCCAAAAAGGAGGAAACAGGATACAATAGTGATGGGCCTGACACAAAAGTCCAACAGAAAGAAAGCACAGAGTTCTAGCTGTGCAATAGGCCCATGAGTGAATCTGGTATTCTGGGCTCTCTGAGGAAAAGCTTCAAGAGAAACAGAATACACCTCATTCACCAAAGACGCATGAGAAGCTGCAAGTTCTTAGCTTAGGATGAAGGGGCGTAAGCTTTTCCTTGATAAGCGCATCCATACACACTTGAAAAAACAAAGAAAAATAGGATGACAGAACGACCTGAGGAGAGTAGACCCCACTACAGATGGAGGAGAAGGGAGAAGATAACAATGAGACTTCAGATAAAATTATAATATTTTATTACTTTTTTTTCAAATCAGAAGCAAATGAAAAATGTATAAGTGTTTCCGAACATAGGAGTAAGGGTGGGAGAGGATGAGGCAGGGTAGGAAGGGCACTGCTCTGGGACAGGTGCAATGGTTAAGACACTGTTTGGGACTCCCACGTCCCACCTGTGAGTCATTGGGCTCAAGTCCCAGCTCCATTCCTGATTCCCACTCCCTGCTAATGCACACTCTGGGAGGCAGCAAGTGCTGGCTCAAGTATTTGGGTCCCTGCCACCCACAAGGGAAGCCTGAATTAAGTTCTGGGCTCATGGCTTCAGCTTGGCCCAGGCTTGGAGATTGCAGGCATGTTAGGAGTGATCCAGGGGATGTGATCTCTTGGTCAGTCTGTCTCTGTCTGTCTCTGTCTCCCCTTCTTTCTCCCCCCCCCCCTCATCTTTTGGCCTTTAAAATAAATAGACTTCTAAAGATTTGAAAAACTTTGTTCAATTATCTATTATTATTTTAAAACATTTAAAATAATACAGAAAAGTATAAAGAAGAGTTAAATGAATAAATATAGAAATTTTTTTAACATTTTGACACAGACATAATTTATTGTATTGTGGGATTCGGATTCATGTCGATGATAACTGGATTAGGAAAGAATTTTACATTGCTATGTAGAGGATATAATTCAGTGAAGACAACATTTATAAATATCTGAATACTTAGCAATGTGGTATACATGGTGTATCTGTGTGTATTTATTTATGTGCGTGTGTGTGTGAAAGAAATTATATGGCATTTGTCTTTCTGTGTCTGGCTTATTTTACTTAGCATAATGATCTTCAATTCCATTCATTTTGTTGCTAATGTCAGAATTTCAGTCTTTTCCATGGCTGAGTAATATCCCAGTTTGTTTATGCCATGTTTTTTTTTTTTAAGATTTTATTTATTTCTTTGACAGGTAGAGTTACAGACAGTGAGAAAGAGAGAGAGAGAGAGAAAGGTCTTCCTTCCATTGGTTCATCCCCCAAATGGCCATTACGGCCAGTGCGCTGCGCCAATCCAAAGCCAGGAGCCAGGTGCTTCTTCCTGGTCTCCCATGTGGGTGCAGGGCCCAAGCACTTGGGCCATCCTCCACTGCCTTCCTGGGCCACAGCAGAGAGCTAGACTGGAAAAGGAGCAACCGGGACTAGAACCAGCGCCCATATGGGATGCTGGTGCCACAGGTGGAGGATTAACCTTGTGTGCCATAGCACTGGCCCCTGCCATGTTGTTTTAACTAGTAATCCACCAGTGGGCATGAGTTATGCTTCTGTACGCCAACAATGATCTTGCTGAGAAAGAACTTAAAAGAGCATTCATAAGCCATTGTAATCCATTAACTGTACTTTGAAAATTTATATTTACTAAATAAAAATTTTAAAAAAAACTTAAATACCTTTGGATAAGTTAAACTAAGGATATGAAAGACCTCTACAATGAAAATTATAAAACATAAAAGAAATTGAAAAAGGTAGAAAAATTTTGAAAGACCTCCTATATTCATGGATTTGACTAATTAATATCAAAATGTCCATAAGTAATAAGTGATAGATTCAATGCCAGCCCTATTGAAATACCAATCGCTTTTTTCACAGAACTAGAAAAAAATACTAAAATTCGTATGGAACTACAAAAGACCCCAAATAGCCCAAAAAGCAATCACGAACAATAAAAACAAAGCCAGAGACATAACAATAACATATTTCAAGACTAGAACACTGTTGTTATAACCAAAACAACATGATACTAATATAAATACACATAGAAC